ATTCTTATCTATTGAATAAATTTTTCCCCCCCCCCCCCCGCTAATTTCTTTATTTATCTATTTTCAGGGCTTTTGCAAATTATTGAGAAAAATTTAAAAAAATATATTTTATTTATACCCCACCTATCTGGTCATTGCGACCACCCTAGGCTATAATATATACCATCCATCTCTCCACCCATCTGTCCCTTGCTTAGATGCTGTGGGGCTAATCCATTTCTTAGATATATAGATGTAGAGATAGATAGATAGATAGATAGATAGATAGATAGATAGATAGATAGATAGATAGATTAGATAGATTAGATAGATAGATAGATAGATAGATAGATAGATAGATAGATAGATAGATAGATAGATAGATAGATAGATAGATAGATAGATAGATAGATAGATAGATAGATAGATAGATAGATAGTCAGTCCTCCCACAACAGCAGTTTCCCACTTGTATGCAGGTTGCCAATAGAGAGGAGATACAAGCAGCAGGAAATGCTTTATATTAGAGTACAATACTAACCAGCCAAGATGGCTGAAGGACAGTTGAATTGACAGTAGGACAGTTGAGACTGCTGAATCCAAACACCACCCACCTCAAGGATGTGGGAAACTACATGGGACTACCCTTATTCATATAATGGTTTTCCCAGTAGCTGTTGTCATGTATCATCAAGATGCTTTCAACTTATGGTGACCCAAGGAATGAGTGATCTCCAAAAATGTCTTTTCCTCAGTAGCCCTGCTCAATGCTTGCAAATTCAAGCCTCTGGCTTCCTTTAGGGAGTCAATCTATCTTGTATTTGGTCTTCCTCTTTTCCTGCTGCCTTCAACCTTTCCCAGTTACTATGTATACATGTGAAAGCTGGACAATAAAGAAATTGACAGAGGGTGGAAAGAGATTTATTCAAAAGGTGGTGTTGAATGAGAGCTTTGTGGACTGACAGAAAAACAAGTGGGTGGTATATCAAATCAAACTCTGTAGAGGAGCAAAATGACTGAACAGAAGCTGGAATAGGTAGCATGAGAAAACACAACTCAGTTGAAAAGACCGTAATGCTAAGAAAAGTTGAAGACAGCCCAAAAAGTGGAAGACTAAATAATGGAGATGGAGTGTCTCAGTAAGGGAGCCACAGTCTTGGATCTGCAAGAACTGAACAGGGTTGTTAATGCTAGAAGTTATTAATTTAGAAGGTCATCCTAAATCAGAAATGACCTGGTGGCACATAATAACACAAACTTCATTTTGGTCTACATTTGTGTCAGCATAATGGCTGTGTCCCTGGGTTGGAATTGATCTGGATGTGCAATAACTCCGCTCCTCCTTTGCTCTATGTCACCTTTTTTTCCTGTCTCTCTTCTGCCAAGAGATCTCAGCCAGCAGAGTATTCTAATGGCAGATCTCTCTCCTGAATTAAGAATACGCTATTGTTGTCATTGTTGTTTTCTTGAGAAAATACTAATTCACTAGCCTCCAGTGCCCTGCTCAAGTAGGAGACCAAGCAGGAGACATAGGCTCTGCTGACAGTGAACACTTCTGCCTGTGCCCAACCCCAACACTACCAGCCAGTACATATCTAAATTCAGATTGTATTTTTATATTTTTGTGTTTACAGGACAGGGTGCCACAGATTATTAGATGGGCCTTGACACAGTACTCTTAAGTAGAATCAGGAAAGAGGAAAAGAGAAGATCTACCACTTTGATCTGAGCTCTACCACTCACAACAGTACAGCAATGTTTAAGATTTCAAATTCCCTCCCCACCATACCGTCTTTCATGGCTTTATGTTGGCTGCCCTTATCAGCAGCACTAGCAAGGGTAGCTTTTTGCAGCCGGAGAATACTGCTGCCAGGGTCAACAGAGCCTCCACTTGCAAGGAAGCTCCTCTGTGGCGTGAGACAAACACCATCACCATCGCACCAGCTGGCAGATCTGGGTGTCAGAATTGCTCTGTCCATTGCCATTATCATTATTCTATTACATTTCACCAAAGAATTTATTTGCCTTTAATTCCAGGCTAAAGGGCCAAAAATGTATCACTGTAGAGTTTGTTTCCATTATTCTTCCCAACATTCATTCAGTATCCATTTTAGCTGATCTTACTTACCAGAGTGGTAGAATATACCAGATGGGTGGGATATAAATCGAACAAATAAAATAAAATAAATAAATAAATACTGTTTATGTACAAAAACTTGAGAAAGTATATCTGTTGGTTTAATCAGTGCAATAATAAGCAGAACATAATCAGTTTCTTGGTTTACAGTTGTACAGGTACTTGTTTAAAATTAAGATTTAAGAAAAGCTTGAACAAGTCACTGGGGAGGCTAGTGAATTAGTCTCTTCTCAAGAAAACAACAACGTATTCTTAATTCAGAATCCTGCCATAATTCTAATTTCATGTTTCCCAGGCAATTATTATAATTCTGGTCTTTTCAACTGAGGTTTAACAAAATGTACTACAAATATCACAAGTGCAATCTTATACATGTTTCCTTGGTGAGAAGGCCCTGAAAATAAGGCTTCCTGTTGGGTGTATATAGGATTGTACTCTAGAGAAGGAAACAATGCCAATGTGATGCCTAGCATATTTTCATCCTAGCTTACTATAAGAAAGTTTAAAAATAAAAACTAAAAATACAACTTTTCACCACTTTTTAAGATAACAAATTACATCCAAATTGGATTACAGTTCTAAACATCTAAATGTAAACTAAATTGTTTTCCTAGATCATTGTGAAGCTGAACAATGGAATCAAAGATTTTTCAACTTCAGTTACACCAAAACAGAATCTCTGTGACGGAAGATGGCACAGAATTGCAGGTAAGTAAACATCTCAATTCTCTATTACAAAATGGTGATTCCTGATGACCCCTTTTTCGTGGTTTAATTATATTTCATATATGGGGTGATTTAGAATGATATGAGCACCTGTGCAGATAAATCAGGCAATGATTTGCACTATAGAAAAGAGTGGCAATGCCTCTGAGATTTTCATTATATAATTCTTTATAAAGGTAATGGAATTGATGCATGTTTAAACCAATATACACCCTATATATTTTACACAGTAACCCAGAGCTGAAAACATAAATTAATATTCAAAGAGTTAACGGTGTTAGTTTCAGCATGTGTACAAAAATAAAAGAAACAGCATCTTTTGCCATTCTTGTGGATTGCAATCCACTTCTTCAGACAGAACGGTGTGTGAAAGAAAAAATCGATTGTAATCTATGAATGCTTATAGCAAAAATCAATCTGTCAGTCTTAAAGACACCAAATTTTATTAAGGGCATGGCTGCTGTTAAATTGCCCCCATCATCTTCCATAATATATAGGGCGGGTATTTGTAAATTGCCATCAAATCAGAACTTATAGTGAATCTAATAGTTTTCCAGGTAAGGGGAATATTTAAGGAATGGTTTTTGCCAGTTCCCCACCCCCGGTGAGTATCCATAGCCAAGCAGTGATTTGAGTCAAGGTCTCCTGAGTCCTCATTTGTCTATCCACTACACCACACTGTTGAGAAAAGACAGTTTATCCATGTCTTAATAAATAAGGACATATGTCTGTCTGTCAGAATATAACAACTATCTTAGAATTGCAGGGCCTGAAAGTGGTGTGTTTCGTTTTTTGATTACAGCTCCCAGAATCCCACAAATCCTGTAGTCTAAAGAAGTAAGCCTTCCACATGATAGTTACATAGAATGGCTGGAAGGTTTAGCTCTTTAAGAGTACTCACTGACTGGTCATTGTTCATCCGTCTGTTGGGATACCTAGGTCTGCTTGCAGATATCCTCTGACTGAAATCTTCCATAACAAATCATGTGCTCTACCACAGAGTTATGGGCTGCTAGCATGCTTGGCACTAACAGACGCTCATTTCCCTGAAGTTGTGAGAATCACACTGTGACCAACTGCTGTGTGAAACTACTTCCAAATTACAGAGAAGGAGCCTACCTGGCTAGAAATATCAAGTGTTTTCAAATGTATGTGTGAAATCACGTATACTGCCATATATAATAAAAAGTGGAAATAAAAGTTGCAGTCCATCTCATTCTCTTTTGCTTTGTATGGCAGTTATTAGAGATGCTAATGTGGTACAGCTCGATGTGGATTCTGAAGTGAATCATGTGGTGGGGCCATTAAATCCCAGAGCCATCGATCACAGGGAGCCTGTGTTTGTTGGAGGAGTGCCAGGTAAGATTGATCACCAGTTCATAACTTTATTTCCAAAAATTCATCAAGCGTATTGTTTTAAATACAGTGTTTTAAAGCAAAAACCATATTCACTGTGTTCTTCAATCACACAGCAAGCCTTTGGATTTTGCAAAGTATGTATAATTTTATATTTCTTTGTGTAATTAAAGTGGCCCCTTCATGGACTGCTGCCTTGTTGTGACGAAGGGGCTTGAGTAATTCAGAGAAGCTATGGGCTATGCCGTGCAGGGACACCCAAGACAGCAGGTCATAGTGGAGAGTTCTGACTAAACGTGATCCCCCTGGAGCAGGAACTGGCAAGCCACTCCAGTATCTTTGCCAAGAAAACTCCATGGACAGAAACAAATAGCTAAAAGATATGATGCTGGAAGATAAGGCCCTCAGGTTGGAAGGCGTCCAACATGCTACTGAGGAAGAGTGGAGGACAACTATTGGAGTGGTTGGGCCAAGGCCGAAAGGATGCTCAGCTGTGGGCGTGCCTGGAAGTGAAAGGAAACTCCGATGCTGCAATGAAAAATACTGCATAGGAACCTGGAATGTAAGATCTATGAACCTTGGTAAGCTGGATGTGGTCAAACAGGAGATGGCGAGAATAAACATTGACATCCTGGGTGTCAGTGAACTAAAATGGACGGGAATGGGCGACTTCAATTCAGACAATTATCATATCTACTATTGTGGGCAAGAATCCTGTAGAAGAAAGGATAGTCAACAAAAGAGTGGGTAAAATAGTCAACAAAAGAGTGGGAAAAGCTGTACTGGGATACAATCTCAAAAATGATAGAATGATTTCTATA